AATGAGCTCACATCTAAAGCGCAAGGAGAGGGAGTATTGACCATTAACACACAGAAGAGAACACCACCTCCGTGCACTGAGCTGGAAATTTTCAGAACCTTCCCCCACTCCACGACCCCAAAAACTGTTATCACACACAACAGACAACGAAAAGATCATTCTTTTAGTTTTGCCACAGCCTCAGGATTTCTAACAATTCAAAAACATAAAAATACTGCGTTTGACACTGTGGAATTCTTGACTGACCTCAGCTGGACAGGTAAAGAGGAACTGATCACCACAACAAAGATCAGCCATCACTTAGCTACAACTGATTGCGCCTTGGGTATATTTATTCCATGCAAATAGAATTCAATCTCATTTCCATGTTCTTGGGGCTTTAAAGGTCCAGTTTCAGAAAGCTGGAAAAAATCCTGAACTCAAACTTGAGGGAAGAATCTGACTTCAGAGGACAATTTTCTAAGTAAGACTCTTCTGAAGTCACATCCAAACAAAAGGGTCACCAACATTAATCATAACTAGATGAAAACGTTGACCAAAACGTAATCCTTTCCCTCAGACTACATATAAACCAAGGCGGGAAAACCAGGGGGAAAGCTCAGGGATAGCCATGAGCTTCAGTGAAACGCTACAGACTGCTCAGCGAAGCGAAAGACACAAGAACACTCTTTTCGGTACATCAGGAACAAAAGCAATCCCAACAACTGCACAAAGTCCACTGTTTGACAGAAATTCTTCAGGACCGAGAAATCTGCAGAAGGCAGACCTGTTCAACACACAGCTCTAACAGCCTCCAACCACGTGCTGGTACGCGGTGAGAAATCTTGTCCATTCCAGTCATAACCAACAGTGATAAATGACAGCAGTCAAGCCTGGACATCAGGACACGGGAGCCAGCTAAAGCACGCCCAGGTCATCCAGGGTGTTGCAAGGGAGCAAATCGCCCAGCAGAGTCCCCAGAAACATTACCAGGGTAGGAAAGCGTCTCTCACCCAGAGAAAAGCTCTGCCTCAGGCTGCCGGGCTTTACCAAGACAAGTTCGGGGACAGCCACGGTATACATATGCGCTACCCAAATGCGATAGCAGAGGGCTTTTCACCCTAGCAAAGCTAGTTAGAAGCAAATCATTCCAGTTATAAAAAACGGCATCTACTTCTGATGGGCTCAGGGGAATTCATTTCACCACACAAGCGGAACAGACTGCCTTGCTGGCAACGCCTGCGGACAGCAACAAGCGGGTTTTCTACACACTGCCTGCTCGCTCCCCGCAGTCCCAGTTCAGGGCAGCCCCTGAAACCAGACTGGTCAAACCCCACAGCACAGCCGTCAAAACTCCCCTCTCATTCCTACCTTTCGGGGAGCGTTTGTTTTCACCTCCAAGTCTCACAGCAAAAGCCGCTTTTTATTTCTCAGGAGGCTCGCGCGCGCTCTGACCCCCCGCACCCTCCG